TCTAGGTTAAGACCGATACAGTTCTCATCTTATGTAGAAAGAAAGCAGAAAACACRCGGTGGGAGTACTTGACTCAGGTTGAAAAAGAATGCAAAGAGAAAGAGTAAGTCTACTTTTATTTCTTTTAAGTATTTTAATAATTTTCTTGGTTGGGATTRTTGTTTGATTTTTATGGATAATGGAACTGTAGAGACTGATTTGGCCATTTATGTTTTTGATGTCCACTGAGTAACCCCATTGTCTTACCTGCTTTCAACTGCCACAGCCTACTGGAAGAGGTCATGTGTTCCACAGGTTGCTTTGTAGGTGTTTATAGTTAGAGTTGGCTCTTTAGTACTGGCTCTCAGTCTTAGAATGGTGGTATATCTACAGATACTGTGCCTATTCTTAGGAATTTTGTTTCAGGAGTTCCAGAAAAGCTCAGATATTCATGTATGTGTGTTAGTAATTCTTCAGATGTTTGTGATATATAGTTTCACTACCACTGGTTTAGGGGAAAAGATGAATCTCTTTATCCTTCATGACTGCATTGAGTTGGCTGTCTGTGTTTCTCACTTCTTTGGTAGCCACATGCATTTGGGCTGTGGTTGGCTAGAGTGAGGGATACCAAACTATCTGAGGAATTGATTTTAAATTCAGACTGAAATACCCCAGTATAGGACCCTGTCTTATTGTGTGTATCTCCAGTGCCCAGTACAGAATCTGGCAAATAATGAATTAAATACATTTRGACTTTCATTGAACTGGAGATGTACTGACCATATTTATTAAGACTATGCTCTTACCACTGGGGCCCAGATCCATATATCTCAGGCTTAAGAGAAGGGCTTTTCTAATAAAATGTAGGCACTTCRGTATGTATCTTTGTATAATGTTAATGCTTGTGGGTTTTTCCTCAAGAGTATTTTTTAAAAACATAACGTAAAGAAATATACTCTTAAAAATTAAAAGCTGAATCCTTATTATTTGGCCTGCTAAAAAAAAATCACTTGAAATTACAGTGCCCCACAGTAACTCCGTTTTTGATGACCACTCTTTGGTACATAATGTGTACATGTGTGGTTAGTGTATATTTTCATTAAGATGAATTTGGATCGAGGGTACTTTGATACTCTAGTTTCCTCTTACCTCCACCCATTTATTTCCTACCAGCATTAATCTGAAATTGTGTCTTTCCATGCTTTGATTTCATTATCACATGTGTTCTTCTTTAATAGAAAGCCTTCATAYGACACCGAAACAGATCCTAGTGAGGGATTAATGAATGTTCTAAAGAAAATTTATGAAGATGGAGATGATGATATGAAGCGAACCATTAATAAAGCCTGGGTGGAATCAAGAGAGAAGCAAGCCAAAGGAGATACAGAATTTTGAGACATTTAAGTCTTTTTGGGAACTGTGATGTGGAAATATGGATGTTTCCAATAAGGGATTGTTGGAGAGCTGCACATATAAATTTGACATAACTATTTACAGTAAAGGCAGTAAATTCTCCTTTACTGGAGGATTTATTTAAATAAAATGTGCTTATTAAATACTTACTCCAAAGATGGTTTCATTGGTACCTGGTCATTCCCCCACCCCGCACCCCCAAGAAAGAGTTATATGGCATTTTCATTGAAATGTAAAAAGCAAGTCCTGCCTCATGAAAATGATAAATTTGTATTTTTGTTCAGCTAGAAGTATTTGCTTGCCTGTAAGTTAGTGACATCAGTTCCCACCAATGTAATAAGAGTAAAACCTGAATTTTTGCATAAAATTCAGTTGTACACGTCCTTGGAAGTTGCTGTAGAGTGATTGCTTATTTCCAGCTTAAGCAATGCATTACCATACACACAGTCACATGCTTCTGTGTAGATTTAAATGCATTTGTTTACGAATACAGAATTGAAATTGAAACTAAAAACAAGGATAAGCATCTTTGTAGGAGCAATTAGGTCTGCTGTGGATCAGATGGCATATAAAGGTAATAACCATTACCCAAAAAGAATTTGAAAATCCATCTGTTTCTAGGTTCAATAAAGTTGGGTTTTTATTTAATGGAATAGTTTTTCTCTGTTTGTTCARAAGTATGTCAGAAAGATTAGGCTTTCCTAAAATCAGAAGCCAGAGCAAAGTGCCATGAGCTYTATCACTACATTTTACTGGAGCATTATACAGTGTAGTTAGATGGAGGAAGCAATTAGAGGATCCAAGAGGACCAACTAAATCTGAAACTATAACAAGAATTTGGTAAAAGTGGCAGGATTTAAAATAGTCTAGATCTAGATATGAAAGTATACAAATATGAGAAGACATGAAGGGAATTCTACGAAAACAAAAGTAAAGGGAAACTCTACATAGATGGTTTTATTCATTCTAGATTTTAAATCAGTTGGTTTTAGCTATATAAAAATACATGGGAGGGGCTGAGGTTGTGGCTCACAGGCGGAGTGCTTGCCTAGCATGCATGAGCCACTGGGTTCACTCCTYAGCACCACATTAAAAAATGAAATAAAGATATTGTGTCCACCTATAACTAAAAAATAATGTTTTTTAAAGTATACATGGCAAGAAAAAAACCTACCATAACCAAAAATGACATGTTGAAAATTCTCAACAATTAACAGTTTATAGGAAAAAAGTAAATGACCTGAAATATAGAAAGATGTTCRTCTTGTTCAGAAAAGAAATTAAGAAACTACACTGTTTCTTATCTATCACTGGGGAAAATTCCAGAAGATAAACATACTGGTGCTATTGTGTTGAGGCTATAGAGAAATAAGGACACGTGGAATGGAATGTGYTTTACCTCTGGCTTAGAATTCTGGGAAAGATAAACTGGCAAAAATTTGGAATGATCTGTATAGAAGATTGGAAACACTCAAATATCTAACAATGGGACTAGCTAAATGCTATATATGGTTACATCCACATGAGGGAGAGGACCTCCAGCCACAAAAAAAATGATTTCTATGTAGTGACACAGAATCACCAGGTCAGAGTAGTAGAATAGCAAAGCACAAAACAAAGTAGTCCTACTACCTTTGTAAGAAATGGTTAGAAATGTAAATACACTTATTTCTATTTTAGAAAATCATTTAGAAACTCAGAATAAAAAATTGCTTCCAACAGGGAAGAAAGGAGATGGAGATAAAAGTAATACTTTAATAAACTGTTCATTTTTAAGAACCATCTAAAACAAAATTGAAAATGTAAAAATAACCCTTATTTGAAAGTAAATCAAACTCTTCCTGCTGCTATAACAAAATGCCTTAAGATTAATTTGTAARTAATAGAAACTTATTTCTTCATCTGGACGCTGGGAAATTCAAGATCAAAGTACTAGCTCTGCATTTGGTGTTTGGTAAAGGCTTTTGACTTCCAAGATGATGCTTTCTCAAGAATTCACACATGGTTGAATTGCACAAAAGGGACAAATATAAATACAAAATGAGTGTTAATCCCATTCATGAAGGTGGTACCTTCCTAACACCTCATTTCTGTACTGTTGCACCAGGGATTGATAAGTCAACATGAATTTTGAATGGGCACATGCAAACCATAACACTCAAGTTAGCAGTATAAAATTGAATACCAGTGCTAGTGAGAGGGACTATCAGMCAAAAATAACCACAAAGGAATCTTAAAACTGCAACCACTGGGTTGTTTACACAAAATTGGGGGTCAGAGAAATTAACGTCAGTTACTAGTTCAGGTATTAGAGCATTCTAGTTGGTAATTTGTCATAAATTAGAAAATATGAATCTAAGGTATATCACAATTCCCTGAAATTTTCATTCTTAACCTGAGTTCCAGACTATGGTACCCAGTGTATACTAGACTTCTCCATCAGATGATAGGTATCTCAAATATTGCATGACTAAAACCTGAACTCTCTGTGATCTGTTTTCTCCTAAACCTGTTCTTTTCTCCATTATATTCTGTCTTGAGTTGCCCTTTCCATTTATCTTACCAGGAACTCAGAGCCATCTTCACTCTTAAATAATATAATTAGTTTCTTAAGTCCTACCTAATTTTCTTTCCTAAGTAATACTTTGCAAATCTGTCCTCTTTTTGCTAATGCCACTATCTTAGTTCAGGCCCTCAATTCCTGAACAATCAAGACATCCTCGTAACTGGCTGTCTTGCCTACAGATTTACCTTTCAAAGCTTTAAGATTAATTTGTAAATAATAGAATCTTGAAAATTCCTCAGTCTAGAGGCTGGGAAATCCAAGATCAAAGTACTAGTTTGGTGTTTAGGAAATGGTCATCTACGGGACAGCTATCAGAGATCTGTAGATGAACTGTCATTCCTTTGCTTAAAACTTTCTAGTACCTGGTAGTTAAATGAAGTCAACCCCTTCACATAATGTGAAATCCTCCATGACAGGGCTCTTGTGTTGTGCTGTTTTTTTGTTTGTTTTTTTTTTTAAATGGTGCCTCACTGTTGCCCAAGCTGACCTCAAATTCCTAGTTTAAGGGATCCTTCTCCCAAGTAGCTTCCTGGGTAGCTGGGATTATAAACACCAAAGCACCTAGCTGAAGATTTTATATATGTATTTCACATGTATGTAAGTGGGTTCTTTCATAGTAACATGTATTTTTCATTACTGGGCTGATCACACTGTTCAGTTACTGCACAAGAAAACCTGCTGAATATAGGGAATATATATTATTCCAACAAAGCTTGAAGAGGCATATTTTACAGTAAAGATGTAATAAGAACAGATGGTTCTTCTGTTCAGCTGTCAACACAAAGCAGTTGAGTATTAGCCAATAATACAGGTCATCACCTTTAACTTCCAATCCATTGTTTAACAACTAATAGTAAGGCAGCCTCTGCAGGGCAGGGAAACTAACCCAGAATTAAATTGTCTGTCTGTTGGGTTATCTACAAGATAAATACTGTTTTACCAAGTAAAACTTCAAAAAAATATAGAAATCCTTATGTTACTAAAAGATAACTCTTAAAGGAAAAGCATAGAGAAAAAAAGAAGCGTACAAAGCCTGTTTCCATAGAAAATACTTTTTATTGCCTGCTCTACTCTTTACATCATGTATATGGACAGTATGTTTAATCTTTTARAGAATTTAATGACAGAAGGAAATATCCAAATTTCTTAAAATTTGAAAGTAATTTATATGTAGCACAGGGTAGATGAGACAATTCTACTGGACACCTATATAAGCTAGGGTCTCAGGTTGGGGATGTGGCTCAATAGCAGAGCACTTGCCTGGCATGTGGGAAGCTCTGGGTTTGATCCACAGCATCACAAAGTCTCTTCTTTCCTGAAAGTTCAGTTGGTTCTGGAGCTGATTTTTACCACATTGCTCGCTGGACCCCAGAAAGTTGCCCATGGTCAGCTAAGTGTCGGAAGACGATTCGACTAAGCCTCCAGYGTCGCTTTACACCACGTGGACGGGATGTCATAACACATCGATTCCTAATCCTAACAGGACAGCTATCCCGGGGAAGGGCTGCAATTTCTTTATCAGCCATTTCCTAAAGGGAATCACAACATTACTACACAGATCACATGCATTTACTTTTTCTAGATGTTTAAATTTATGCTTAAAGAAAGGGCTGTTCTTTGTCAGCCAGAGCTTCCCAAAGAACCCTGGACACGTAGTAAACCTTAACCTGAGTAGAAACCCATAGACCAGAAGGCTGCCAGAAATGTTTGACATCCTTCCAGTGTGGTTTATAATTTGAAACTTTAACATAGTCATAACATTCACAAACCAAGGTCTGGGGACGTGGTTCAGTGTTAGAGCACTTGTCTAACGCGTCTGAGGACCTGGGTTCAAGAAGGAAAAAGAATGTGTTGGATGTAGTAACACACCCATAACCTCAACTACTAAAGAGCCTAAGGCAGGAGTCCAGCCTGGGCAACTAAGCAAGACCCTGTCTCAAAAAAAGAAAGAAAAAAAGAGTCTTAGGGATGTAGTTCAATGGTAAAGTGCCCCGGGTTTAATCCCCAGTGCCAAAAAAACAAAAACCCCACAAGTTAAATTAAATCAATGCATATGAAAGCCATTAAATTAACAAACTAATAAGCATTAAGAATAGTTCCTGATCACCATGCTTATGCATGTATTGCTATTATGAAATATGTAGAGAACAGAACATTTGCCTACCCACTGGCAAATTCCAAGCACATAGTACAGTATTAGTGATGATAGCCACATACTGTGCCTTGGTGTCCCTGCACATTTCCATCCTATAACTGAGTTTGTACCCTTTGACCAACATMTCTCCAAYCCTACCCCTGGCCTCCTAGCTCCAAAACAGCATGACAGAGTCAATGAGTAGTGGATACTAAGTGCTATGCAAGAAGTGGAGAGGAGAAATGACTGGGTTGGGAGGCTGAAGCAAAGTGTCATGGAGCAGATCTTCACAAATGACTATAAGTTGGTTATTTATGCATAACTTCCCTTGTTCCCAAAATGTTTTAAGACAGTTTACATGTGAGAACATTTGGAATAAGGAAGTCAATGTAGAAAAGATAAATGCCTTAGTACACAAAAAGTGCACACTGAAAGCCTATAAGCTTCTGGAACTGGGTCATAATTTGGTTTGTGAGCTACTTGGCAACAGCAGAGAGCCATGATCAGTTTCCACACTGATTCTCTGCACTGCTGTTGCTGGTACTGACACCAGACAGGAGGTCTTCATAAATAATGCACCCAACATTTCCCTCTGGCTTTACTGACATGTAATTCACAACTAAAATGTGTATATTTAAGGTATAGAACATGAATTATGTGTGTGTGTGTGTGTGTGTGAAAACTACCACAATCAAGCTAATAAAAGATATCTTCCATCATCTTCCATAGTTACCTTTTGTGTGACTGTGGTAAGAACACTTGCTTACCCTCTTGACAAATTCCAGGTATACAGTACAGAATTACTGATGGTAGCCACATGCAGTGCTTTGGTGTCCCTGCACATTTCCATCCTATAACTGAGCTTGAACCCTTTGACTAACATCTCCCCAACTTTACCGCTGGCTTCCTAGCTCCAAGAAACCACCATTCTACTCTCTGCTTCTGTGACCACAGTGTCTTCAGCTAAKTGTCTCAAGAGACTCTTCTTACTACTCCTAAGTACAGACAGCTTAAAACCATTATGGTAAAAGCCATAACTGAGCAGTCCAGGAAATTCARTTTTCTGCTCATTTGGCTTAATCCAGACAAAAAAGAATCTATAAATGATACTTATTTATTTATTTATAAATATGAGCTTTTGGTAAAGTGAATTGCCTTGAGTTTAAATTATACTCCCTGACAAGGTTTTTTTCCCCCCTCCTGACAAGGCTCTTTGAAACAAGTGTTCTATGTTGTACTTAGGCATAGRACCTTATGCTTCAGAGGGTCAAGTAGGGTTGATTCCATTTTATTCAACTTGAGGAGCATGATAAGAAGCGAAGCCTAAATGGCAGACCACCTCAGCACAGAGGTGGGCAAGGGAGTCCAGGAAGACAGGTCCTGAGCAAGAACAGTTTGGGTCATGTTCAAGCACCTGAAGCACTTGGCCCCATGCACCAGCAACACTTCCTAATGCCTTGATTGCTAAAAGGGTGGGATGAAGGCTAGTTTGGAAACTCACCCAAGTTTCAAGGCTGTTTATGCTGATCTGGACAACCGGATTTTATTCTCCAGAAATGATATGGATAACTAAGTCACAACAAACAGTATCAAAAGTCATCTGATGTGAGGGCTGGGGTTGTGGCTCAGTGGTGGAGTGCTCCCCTAGCAGGCAGGGGAACTGGGTTCAATCCTCAGCACCACATAAAAATAAAACATTTTGCCCACCTAAAACTAAAAAAATTAAAATAAATATTTTTTAAAGAAAATTATCTGATGTGAGTTAATGATGTTGGGGTAGGAAGGGACTCAATTAGCTAACCTGAAGATCTTTGGGCAAAATGGTATTCTTCCGGAGGGAATTGATCCGCAATCTGTCATCCGCATATTCATAGGCCATTTTTCGTCTCTTCACATCACGCAACATTTTCCAGTCTACATAGTAACCTCGGACCTGGCGTGAAGCTAATGAAGGAACCACCTAAAAGACAGGCCAGGAACGAGTGAAGGACATGGACGGTCAGGCCTCAGCTCTGCCAGTGTTCCCCAATCAGCAATCTTTCGGTCCCYTATTATGAAGCAATTTTTAAAAAGTTGTTTGGGATCATTTTAATAATTCAAAATAATAGRTTTCCTAATTAAAAGATAAATAACTTTTATGGACATACACTCAGTGGTGATAATTAGCATGATGCCAATAATGCGTGTTGGAAAGKGACACATTTTCACACACACCTTTTGCTGGCCTTTACGCTAAAATTCCTCCAAAAGGCTCGTCCACACTCAGTCTCCAATTTCTTTGCTCCTACTCTCCCGGGAACGTTTCCGTCCTCACCACACTGCAATCCTCCGCGGCCAATTCTCAGCCCTTCTTCTGAGCGGCCGGGCACCTCTGCGCAGGGTCGCCCACCCCGCTCCCGGGAATTCTGTCACCGGCGGCTTCCGCGCCACCCACCGCACTGCCCTGGGTTCTCGCTTCCTCGACCCACACTCCTTCCGTGTCCTAGGTGTGGTCGGGGTCTCCACACCATCCGCTCCAACCTGCCCGAGTCGAGCCGGAGGCGGAAGTGGTGGGGAGAAGCCTGGGTCTGGTCCTCGAGGGGTGCTATGGTGGTAGGGTCGTGGGGACCGGAGGTTACGCCACTCAGGAATGAGAGGAAGGGAGGTGAGAACGGCGCGGGCCTGACCTGTCGGAACGTCCGCAGCAGCGCGCCCAGCATGGAAGCCGCCATCTTGTCCGCGGCAACTTTATTGACACTGGCGGATACCGCGGTCTTGGGGGCGGGGCCTGGGGCGGGGCGGGTCTTTAGCCTACTGGAAAGAGGGCGAGTTGAGGCTGAGCTCTCGCGGGACTTCACGCAAGTGGGGCAAATCACAAGTCCAGGGGGGTGACTTTGGCGGTGTTGGCAGAGTCTGAGGTTCCTCGCATGTCTCTATGCATACGTCTACACACTTACTTAAACTAGTAGGTCCCCACTCACCTGTTTTCATTCGCCCCCACCTTCCAGTTTATCGTCCCCAGCTGTCCTTCCCCCGCGTCCCTCCGTCCCTCCTCCGTGTTCCGCGGGGAGCGGGACACGGCCTGAGGGAACCGGGGGTTCCATTCCCCGGGTCGTGCTTCCGGGAGACCTTGCGCCTCCCTCCTCTCGCCTCTGGAGGTGGTGGTGGTAACAGCGCAGCTGGGTTCCCGAGTGTGTCGGGGGCTTTTATAGACATCCTGCCTGGGTTGGGCTTCAGGGGAAAAGGACCCGGCGCTGTTTCTTCTCCGGGGTGGGGGACGTCCCTTTAAACCCCGGCGTTTTCAGCCTCTAGTACCGGAGACTTGGGGCGTCTTGGTAGCCGCGGCCGTTGTCTGGGATGACCGTTCGAAGGGCCCTCTACGCTGTGACTGGAGGAGAGGCGAGGAGTGGACCTWGGCCCGTCCTGTGTCGAGGACGCGTTGGTGGGGGCTGAGGAGAGGCCGGGTGTCGTTCCCATCTGCAGTCTTGCWCGCGGGAACCTTCTGGGAGAAAGGAGGGCTCCTTTCTTGGAAGTTCAGGTTTACCGGAACGTGTCTAATGGGAGGAGACAGCATGAGCCCGACAGGCTAGAATCAGAGAAGTCCTAGATGGGTGTCAGAACGTCTAAGCCCATGTTATGTCTTTCCACCCCACAACTGGAGTCATCTTCTGTGACCAGCTCAGGAAATGGGTGCACTGTGAATTTATGCCTCCTTTTTGTAAGACTAGCTCCCCCCTCCCAGCTACCCAAAATTCCTGAATACCTTAAAAAAAAAATGTAGTGCAACATGCATAAATGTCTTAGTCCACTTTGTGCTGCTATAATGGAATACCTAAGAACAGACATTCTTACACTTCTGGGAAGTGAAAGTCCAACACCAAARGGCCTATATCTGGTGCAGCCCTTAATACTGCATCATTCGGAGCAGAAGGCAGAAAGGCAAGAGCTTGGAGAGCGACAGAGAGCCACACTCACTTGTTTAACAAGCCCACTCTCAAGWCAAGGAACCCATTCCCATGGTAGTGACATTAATCCCCTGGAACGTGATATAATAGCCTTTCCAAAGGTCCAGCCTTTTAACACTATTGCACTGGGGATTAAATTCCCAACATATAAATTTGGGGGTCATGTGCAAACTGTTGCACATAGCACAAAATTTACTATTTAGCCATTTTTTTTAAACTCTTTTTTAAATATTTATTTTTTAGATGTAGATTGACATTTTAAGTGCTCAGCTCAGTGGCACTGATTACTTCACATTGTTGTACAACCATCACTACCATCCATTTCCAGATCTTTTTATCTTTCCAAACCTAAACTCTGTACCATTAAATAATAATTCCCCATTCCTCCCTCTCCCCAGCTCCTGGCCACCAGTGTGCTACTTTCTTCCTCTGTGAATTTGAGTACTCTAGGTACCTCATATAAGTGGAATCATACACTRTTTGTCCTTTCSTTACTGGCTTCTTTGACGTAGAATGTCTTCCAGGTTCACCCACGYTGCGGCACATGTCATTCATTCCCTTTTATGCCTAATATATCATTTTATACCACATCTGTTTTCTGTCTCTTGGAGGATACTTGCTTTGCTTCCACCTTTTGGCTATTGTGAATGATGCTGCTGCTGTAAACATGTGTGCAAATATCTTAGCATCAGTATCTTATTAAGCTATTTCTCTAAGAAGGGATTGAATAATTTTAGTGGTGCTTGTGAGACAGGAATCTTTGAGAGAAGACTCCAGGGTCTTCATTTATTAATTGTGCACCCTCCTCCATTAGCGTGTGGGGAAGTGTGGTAATATCTCAAGAAGGCTCACTTCACATTGAGTTCTCCCCAGGAATCTGCAATTTTTGGCCATTCACAGGAATGTGGGAATGGCTGTTGGCCTTACTGTCCTGGAATGTTAGAACCAGGAGGACCATCATAATTTGTTCATTTAATTATTCAACAAATATGTACTAAGTGCCTGTCATGTATCAATGTGTAAGTGTGAGGGTGTGGGGAGGCTGAAAAGGAAATCTAGCCTTTCTAATATACCTGGAGATTAGGGTTTASGTGCTGGAGAGATCCACATTGCCAGTAATATTACCCTTGCCTTTTCCTCATATTCTTTCTTAAAACTATTTTTTTGGGGGTTGGACAGCGTAAAATATTTTGAAATTTGATTGTAAGTTTCTAGTTTTCATAGTGATTCTGTCTAATAAAATGATAGGGATGATTATATAAAGGATAAAATTGAAGCACAGAGAGGTTAGGTAAGTCCACAGAGATTTTCCTGKGCCACAGTCCATGCTCTTATCCTCATTCCACATTGTCCTTCAAAATGKTAGCTCAAGGATGAGGCCTGACTATTGTTATGGAAAGCTGTGCCTATTAATTTATTCATTGATTAATGTATAGAACTATGCTATTTCAATCAGTATCCCAGTGAAATTTTTCTTAACAAAATAATTCTTTAAAAATATATATGTATATGTGTGTGTGTAAATAAATAAGTAGGATGGGAAGGTTGTAGATAGCTATGAAGTTTTTTTTTTTAAAAAAAAAATAAATTATCTTGCTTTACCAGATATTAATATGCCATATATTATMAAGTCGTAAAATTGAGCTAATTGAGTTAGTGTGGTACCGGTAACAAAATCACAGATAGGTAAATGAACTAGAATAGGTCAAAAAGAAACCCCAACATAGTTAGAATCTTATTGTATATATTTTTGTTTCTTATCTTTTAAATTTTTACTTTGTTTTGGAAATTCTTTTTAGAATTATATATAAAATAAACAATATATATAATATATGGCATATATAAGTATATATAAACATTATTTGTACACACACACACACACACACAAATTTTGTACTAGGGATTGAACCCAGTACCAAAAAAAAAAATTGAGTCACTTTACCACTGAGCTACATCCATAGCCCTTTTTAAAAATTTTTGCATTTTGGGCTGGGGATGTGGCTCAAGCGGTAGCGCACTCGCCTGGCATGCGTGTGGCCTGGGTTTGATCCTCAGCACCACATACAAAAAAGATGTTGTGTCCACTGAAAACTAAAAATAAATATTTGCCGCAACCCGGCTGTGCACAGAAGCACGAGCCACCGCAACCCGGCTGGGCACAAAAACACGAACCGTTCAAACAGGGAACAAAGCTTTATTTAAAAAAGCCGCCAGCATCCCGTGTGCGTCTTCCTAGCAAGCCGGTGGACCCACATGTGTCACCGGAACCGGGTGCCCGGACCTCCCCCGGAAGTTCCCTCCTACTATCCTTCYCCAACCAATGGGAACTCTCCCATTACATGAGTGACATGAGTAACCTGAGTCCCGTAACAGGCCRAGGTGAACAGCAGGAGTCCAATTACCATATGAATGTAAAGCTTAACATAATCATATCATCTCAATGGCTAGCTGGCAGTCACCTAAACCAAAGGTACCATGTATCAATACTTTTGCTGTGGCTCCTAGCAAATATTAAAATTCTCTCTCTCAAAAAATAAATAAATAAATAAATAAAATTTTGCATTTTGAGACAGGGTCTCACTAAGTTGCTTAGGGCCTCACTAAATTGTTGAAGTTGGCTTCTAATCTGTAATCCTCCTGCCTCCTCCTTCCTGAGTCGCTAGAATTACAGGTGTGCACCACTGTGCCTGGCCATACTTTCATTATATATATATATTATATATATTTATATATATATATATATTATATATAAAGCATAAAAGTCATTGAACAAATGGTAATGGAAGAACTGGGTAAAGATTAGAAAAACTTTTAGAATTTATCTTCACTCTTACCATACATCAAAGAAGAATTAAATACTAACAAATACTTTTAAAAAGAAGAAAATACAGATGGATATATTTTTTAAACTTTTAAATCCTACTAGACAATTCTTAGAATATCTAATACCATTGAAAGTATTCAGGGGCTAGGGTTGTAGCTCACTGGCAGAGTGCTTGCCTAGCATGTGTGAGGCACTGGGTTCAATCCACAGCACCACATAAAAATAAATAAGTAAAATAAAGGTATCACGTCCATCTACAACTAAAAAATTTCTTTAAATGTATTCAACCTAATAAAAAAATAATTTAGTTGAGATATGAAAAAAAATATATTCAACCTGACTAGTTTCCAAGAGAATGCAAATTTATACAGTGAGATTAATTTAAATTAGCAAATAATCAAAGATTTAAGATAAATCAGTGCTGTCAGAGGTGTGGGAAAATAGGTAATTTTATCTTCCTGGTAGAAAAAAAATAGGCATAACTTGTCCACAAAGTGATTTGGCAAGAATTTTTTCAAAGTTTATACCTATTGATCCAGTTATGCCACTTTGAGGAAACTATTCTAAGGAAGTACTGAGAAACTTTAATTTTATTTATACAGACATTTACCATGGGATTATTTATAAGAAGAGCAAATTGAATAACTTTAAAGTCCAACAGTGTGTGGGAGAGTTAAATGAATTAGGAAATTTGCCCTGCATGGTGGTACAGGCATCCCAGCTCCTTGAGACGCTRAGGGAAGAGGATTGCAGATTCATGGCCAGCTGGAGAATATAGGGATAATGCCAGACACAGTGATGCATACCTGTAATCCCAGGGACTCGTAAAGCCGAGATAGGAGGATTGCAAGTTTGAGAACAGCCTTAGCAATTTAGTGGGCCCTGTCTCAAAATAAAAAATAAAAAGGGCTGGGGATGTAGCTCAGTGGTAAAGTACCCCTGGGTTTAATCCCCAATACCAAAGGGGGTAAAAAACATGCTTTGGATA